CCACCATCCTGCCAGTGTCCAGAGATCAAAACTCAACCTTCTCCAACATTCTGTAACCTGCTTTTTTAATGCCAAGATCAAAGGGGAACTTTTGTCCTCCTTGTAAAAGAGAAACCAAGAGGCAACTAAATGCTGGCTCTCCCTCCTCTGTACTTCCTGGGGGGATTAAGGGCACTCCTTTAAAGGGACTCCTCAGGGAAACACATTTAACCAAGGCCTAGTTTCAGCACTTCACCACAGAACACCAAAGCTCCTACAGAGTGTGCACCAGGTGGGGCAACTTGAGAGCAGACAGACACAACCAACACAAGACAACCTGCAAAGATCACAAAAACTATGATCTTGGAAAAAAAAAAAAATCTGTTATAGGCATATTAGCAAAAAATATCACCTTAAAGGCAAGTATTCTAGACCACAGAATTTTGATTTTTAGAAATCATAAAGTCCAAGCTTTAATTTCACACATGACATACTTGGAAAACAGACCAGTAAAGCCAAAGTGATTTGTCTAGGGTATACAGAAAATGTGATAGTGTTGGAACCACGCCCAGACTGACCCTGTGCTCCTTTCTCATTAGCTAATGCCCAGCCATACATGAGGTCCAAAAGAGAGAGCAGCTCCCCACATCATGATTGGTGGCAGAGTCCAGGCTTCTTGCCTCCTGTTCAGGACTTTCCCATCCAAGTGCCCTATGGTTAGCACTAGATTCCATAACTAAAAACTGTTCCTGTGCTTCTGGCTTGGGGGGGGGGAGGGGCGTGTGCTGGCTAGTGCTGCCTACACTCAAGAAAACTGTGTGTGTGTGCATGGTACTGGGGTCAAACCCAGGGCCTCATGCATATTGGATAAATACTCTACCACTAGGCTACAACCCCAGCTCTTTTAAATTTTATTCTTTTTTTTAATATTTAGTTTTAGTTTTTTAAGTGGACACAATATCTTTGTTTTATTTTTACGTGGCGCTGAGAATCGAACCCAGTGCCTCACGCATGCTAGGCGATCACACTACCACTAGAGCCACACCCCCAGCCCATTAAATTTTATTCTTAAGACAGGGTCTTAAATTTTATTTTGAGACAAGCTGGTCTTGAATTTACAATCCTCCTAAATCAGCCTCTCAAACAGCAAAGACTACATGGCTCTGCTACTGTGCCCAGCTCAAAAGAATCCTGATGTCATTCTATCCATTTCTCTGCCTTTAAACCATATCAAACCTAAGCAACCTCAAAACAGTGTGAACTGAGCCAGCAATTCCACTACTAGGTAAAGACCCAAGAAAACTGAAGACATATTCATGCAAAAATTTGCCCATAAATTTCTACAGCATTATACCTAATAGCTCAAAAGTGGGAACAATTCCAATGTCTGTCAACTAATGAAAAAAATAACCTGTGGTCTACCACATAATAGAACATTATTCAGGCATAAAAAGGAATGAAGCATTGATACATGCTATAAATGGATAACTTTGAAAACATAAGTAAAAAAATTCAGACACAGAAGACCACATATTATAAATTCCCTTTATATGAAATGCCCAGAAAAGGCAAATCCATAGAGACAGAAAATATGTTAGTGGTTGCTAAGGGCTGCAGGCAGTAAGTGGGAGTGACTGACTACTACTGTTTCTTTTTAGGGTGATGAGAATGTTCTGGAATGAGACCCAACACTGAATATACTAAAACCTACTGAATTGTACGCTTTAAAAGGACAAGTTTTATGGCATGTGAATTATATGTAAAAAATAAAACTATAATACAATCCAAAACAGTTCGAATGACAGACAAGTAGAGACAAGTGAGACAAGTAGAGTTTTATTCTCTAAATTCAAGTTTCTAGACCAGAAATGCCTATAAATATACTCAATGTACATTTCCCAAGTTCCACCAAAATAATATTCCCAAGAGCAGTTTTACATAAAGAATGAGATAGGAGCCTGCTTCTCAATTTAGACCTAGCCAGATCAATTCCATATCCTATAACTTTATAGGGTAGGACAGGAGGAAGGCAAGAAAATTTTAAAAAGAACTTCAGTTTATAGGGGCTACCTTCTCCTATGGTGGGAGAAGTCTTGCCCTGCAGGTTCAGAAAACAGCCACTGTGCTAAGACCACCTGGGAGGTAGCAACCAAACCCTTGGGGAAGAAGAACTATTCACCAAGCTAAGGGAGGGAGGGAAAGGGGGGCTGTGGATATAGCTCAGTTGGTAGAGTGCTTACCTCCCATGCATAAAGCCCTGGGTTCAATCCCTAGCACTGCCAAAAAAAGAAAGAAAAAAAAAAATGGGGTGGGGGGAGGGAAGCCATGCAGTCACAACCTGAATTTTCAAAACAAAAGAACAAAGCAAAAACCCAGCCTGTTCCCATGGCCACTGAATCCACTAGCTCAGTTCCTCTTTGGTTGTATGACCTGCTTCAGGAACCTGTGCACCCCAAATTAGATCCCACACACCCCATCCCCAATGGTTGTGAAACAGTCTATGTGTATGAAGATGTGGGGACCATTGTGACTTCCGCGTAATAAAGTGCTTGACACAGACCAAACTCAGTCTAATTTTAAGTCCAATTTTAAAAATATGTATTGCTAACTTATAACCTCTTAAAAACCTCTGAACAGGGTAGGAATTTCCATTTTGCCCATTACACATACACCCCTGTAACAACACTTTCATGCTTTCTCCCTACTGCACCAAAGTGTAGGTTTTATGCACTCTTCAGACTGGCCTCTGGGAGTCACTGTTTATATCACATACTCCATTTCTTAAAATCGGCTACGGTTTTCAAATGAAAGTGCAGTATAATATTCCCAGGTGGCACACTAAATCATTGTGCTAAGGATAAAATCTCATTTCCATGGCTTGTCTGCAGCATGAGAACAAACTGATTCTCTTAATGTATTGTCCTGGAGAGACAAGAAGCATGAACTTAAGAGAACAACAATCTATTTCAAAATACAGTCTGCAGACTACAAACTGTAGGCTACAACTCACCCTGATTTTAAGTCTGCTTCTAGGTTCACATTTACTCTTGCCTCAGTCCAATTTCATCTTGTGTCATTGTCTCCTACCCCCACCTATCAACATGCTTCAGATCCTCTACCCTGTGTTCCTCAAATGTGCCAAGCTCTCTATCTTGGCCTTTAGGTTTACCATTTCCTTTGCCTGGAACATTCCCTGCATAACTGATTCTTCCTTGTCAATCAAGTCTCAACTTACATCCCTTTCTCTGAGAAGACTTCTCTAATCACTCAATCCCAAATAGTTGTGTCACCCAGTCACTCCAATCACTATTACTTCACCTTGCTGTCTTCACAAACTTAACATTATGAAACATTAACTTATTATTTTTTAAACTGTTTTGTAGTTGTAGATGGACAGCATGCCTTTATTTTGTTTATTTTTATTTTTATGTGGTGCTGAGGATCGAACCCAGTGCCTCACACATGCTAGGCAAGCATTCTACCACTGAGTCACAGCTCCAGAACCTGGAACATTATTTTATGTATTTACTTATTTATGTATTTACATATTTACTTGTTCACTGCCTGTCACCTCAGACTAGAAAAGCTCCACAAGGAGCTCAAATTCACAAGTACACCTCCAGTTCCTGGCAGAGAGTAGGCACTCAAATATTTGCTGATTAAATAAATGTGTACCAAAAATATGTATTGCTAACTTATAACCTCTTAAAAACCTCTGAATAGGGCAGGAATTTCCCAGTGCAATGCTATAAATGCCACTTTATTGAACTTTTCCCTATGGTGAGAGGGTGTGACTTCCTGTCAAGTTCTTACACCATCTTTGTTCTGAATGTGGTAAAGGAAAAACAGGGGTTTCAACATATCACTTGGGATTTTCCCCACTTATGGTTCAAACTGAAGTCTGAGACCATGGGAACCAGGTGAGGCTGCAACCCCCCTCCCCGCTTTGGTGGTGTTGGGGATCAACCACAGGGCCTTGTGCATGCTAGGCAAGCACTCTACCACTAAGCTACAACACCAGCCACAGGATGTGAAATCTTTTACCTGACACTTGTGATTCTACAAAGAATCCTTCATCAAATAAACAAAAGATAAGTTATCAGTCAGCTAACAGAAGGAGAAAAATCCATTATTGGTCAATAATCTACTGCTGTTTGGAGAAAATCAACATCAAAGAATTGAAGCAAGAATCTTCCTCCACTAAAGTCAAATGTTACATCCTATTCTCCAGGTTTTCCTTATCATTCACTCCCAGGATGAAATTATCTGCTGAGATAACAATATCCAGGAAGACCCAGGAAATCTCTGGATTAAGTGACTTCAATTTTAGTGCTGAACACTTAACAAGCAGAATGTGAGCTGAACTTTGGAAGAAAAGCCAGTTCTTCAAAGACTTACTCCCAGGGTTCTGTAGGAGAAGCCCGCACAGCTTTTACCCCCACCTTCACCCACACATAGACTTTATCCTAAGGAGCTTCATCATAATGAGCATTTATCCCTAAGGAGCTGTGTGGCTCTGTAGGGGAATGGGAAGGGGAGGCAGCCTGGTGGGGCTAGAAGTGTTTTTCAGAATCTAGTTCACAGATCACCTCCATCATAATCACTGGAGTGCATATAAAGGTGCAGATCCCAGGGCAATGCCCAGCTCTACAGAGTTAGGACCTTTGGGAAGGAGGCTCAGGAAACTGTATTTTAACTTGCCTTCTCACACACAACCTTTTTCTTATGCATAGTAAAGTCTGAGAAACAGTGGGATAGAAGGACGCGAGAAGAGGCAAGGAGCTCATTGAAAAAGACAAGGGGTAGGAAAGGATCTGGGAATGGAAGATAGCGGTGGGCTAGGGGAGGGTGTGCTCTGCGTTATCAGCAGTCAAGAGGGGTGTGTGATGGGGACAGTTGAGGGTGGAGGTGAGAACAGAGCTTAGACTGGGAGGCTGGTCCGAAGCGAGGTCGCAGCAGCGGACTGGCCAGGACGTTGGGGAGGCGGGGAGAACAGGGTCTGGACGTGAGGGGGAGGAGCGAGGGTGGAAAAAACGGGGATTCTTCGGGGGGTGAGGACTGAAAGGTGAAATTGGGAAGTGGGGATCACAGGGGGCGGGGACCAAAGTAGGGCTGGGAACCCAGCGGAGGCAGTAGCCGAGGTCTTCCTCCGAAACGGCGCCTCTCCTAAAACTCCGGGCCTTGACAATCCTGAATGCGGGGCCAAGACCCGGGAGGGGGAATTGGGAGGCGAGCCCAGTCAGGAGTAACCTGAGCAGGGGTTCTGAAAATGGCTTGGCACCAGGCATGGGGTGCCGGAAGGTCCTGGGATACCCGAGAGGGCCCTGCCTCAGCTCCGGCTCCCGGAGTCTCCTTCACTCACCATCGCCGCCGCCATCTTGGATCCACGTGTCGCCGTGATGACGTCAGCGGAAGTGGTGCTTCCCTGGTTACGGACTTCGAGTCCTCGAGGTAGTCTATCAATTCCAATCTCTCCTGTCGTCGCGGTCAGCGAAAAGGCAAAGGAGACTTAACTCCTGCAAGACAGGCTAGTCCGAGCAGTCATGTCACTGACGAGGTGGAGAGAGAGGCTGGTGTAACTATTGGAGCCATATTAGCTCCTGGCAGAGACGGCGCCTCCCCTACTCTCGCTGCCTTGTGGGTAATGGAGTGTGCGAAACACGCTTGCTCTCTGGGTGCCATCTTTACTATTGGCAGAAAGACCCGTTGCCAGGGTTACCGAGACCTTGATAGAAGGAGGAGGGTGCTCCCGCAGCAGCCGAATTCTGAGAATAATCTGCAATTATGTGTTTATTTGCTTGACTAACATATATCCTTTCTAATAGACTATCCTGTGCATGAAGTTAGGGTCCTGTCTTTTATTTTACCTTGCTCTACTTCGTTGTCATCTGTAAAATAGGGAAGGGATTATAGTAACTCCATCCTAGGCTTCTGATGAAGATTCAGTCTCATAATGTTACATAGGATGCGTTCAATAAATAATTATCATTATATGCTTAGCTACACTCCTTCAGGCCTATAGTAGATGCGAACTGTACACTATGTATTAAATGAATGAATAAATGAAATGCAGCATATTTAGTGGAGGGAGACATCTTTGAATATGGACTTCACCGTGTTTGACTAGCTAAGTGTGTGACTTGAGGCAAGTCACTAAGTCTTGCTAAACCTCCGTTTCCAATACTGGTAAAAAGAGACTCAAATCATCATGGTATTAAGATTGAGAGAGCAAGGCCCAGAGGTACATACTTATGATCCCAGCCACTTGGGAGGCAGAAACAGGAGGATCCAAGTTCCAGGCTGGCATCAGCAACTTAGTGATACACTTGTTTCAAAATGAAAAGGGCAGGGGATGTAGCTCAATGGTAAAGTGACCCTTAGTTCAATCCCCAGTACCCTGCCCCCTCAGCAAAAAAAATAAAAATAAATAGATGGGAAAGACCTCAAAATTCATTTGATCTATGCATACCACTGTAAATTGGATATCTTGTTATATTGTTTCAAAAAGTTGTTAAAAGAATAATCATTAGTGGTAATAATCAGCATTGACTGAATGTTTGTTGTGTGCAGTAGCATTTAACATTATGCAAAAATAGTTCCTAAGACTCTTAGGTATCTAATTCTACCTAAGAGTGGTGAATTTTCTGCAAAGATGGCTACCAACAAGCCCTTTCATCCTTTCATGAGAATACGGTTTCTCCCTCCAAAAAATAAACTATTATCCTCCCATCGAATATGACTGGTTAAATCCCTTGCTTTGCAATAGAATGTTATACAAGTGGCTGCCACTTCTGAATCTAGGCCTTATGAGGTGTGGCAGCTTTTGCTCTACCCTCATAGGTGCAAAGAAGTCTGACTCCCCTGCTAGAGAGCCATGTGGAGAGACACAGAGGGCAGTCAATTCCTCAAGACATTCTGGAAACTCCAGCTGAGCACTACACATGTGCCCACACATTCCAATCCCAGCTGAGCTACCAACTAAATATAGCTGCATGAATAACCTCATCAGCACCAGGAGGAACAAAAGAACTGTCCAGCTGAGCCTAGTTGTTTTAGCTTTGGGGATTGCTTTATTATGGTGTAGTAAATCATTGAAACTGGTTACCTGCACAACCATCCTAAAAGGTAGTAGATCAGATATTATCCCTAAGAGGGAAGAAGCTTGAGAGACAAGAGGGATCTGTCATTGTCACAGAAAAAAATAGATTCCAAACTTGTAACCAGTTCTGGAGCTTGGGTTCTAGAGATTTCTTCCTATTTCTGGCTGCCCAAAGAGGACTGGCTGATAAAGAACAAAGCTCCATAAATGGCATATTAGTCCTCAATATTTCCGTGTTTCCCCTCCTCATGCTTTGTATTTTTTCCCAAAAGGACTTCCATATCCCAGTCTCCTTTGGTGACATAAGCCATAATATATGATTGTGCAGGAAGAATTGCATAAAGGCGAAAGTCCCTAAGGCTCATGAAAAGAAGAATGCGGCTCTGGTTGGTTGCTTCAAAACGGCCTTAAAGTGGCAGCCAATGTTGCAAATAGGGCTTGAATTTTAGTTTTGTTAGCGAAACTTTTCTGTAAAGAGGCAGAGAGTAGAAAGTTTAGACTTTGTCAACCATATGGCTGCATCATGACTGCTCAGCTGCCATCTTGCTACAATCCATGCATAATGGGCTTGGCTGCAGCCTGAGAAGTTTGCCAAATCCTGGTCCAGATGTAAAGTGATGGAGAAACTGTTCACATTGTAGATGGTACTTATATTGTGACCAGCATAAAACTGTGACTTTGGGAACTCCTACCTTATTCAGCAAAGTTGTTCCTGTCATTGATTAAAGAGTCTGGTTCTGATAGGTCTTATTATTTCACTTTCATCTTATTCATTAATGCAAGTGAAACTATCAAACTTAATTCATGCTGGAACTATACTAAGAAAGTATGTTGTCAACCAGGTTACCACTCTGGGCAACCAAAGCTCAACCCTGGGGCTGGGGGTGAGCTCAGTGGTAGACTTGCTTGCCTAGCAAGATTGAGGCCCTGGGTTGGATTTCCTGCACAATGATAGCAATAACAACAAGCTTGATCCCATGAGGAAACGCTGGGAAATAATAGTTATTCTACCTGGGAAGGGAGCTGAGAGTCACTAATAGAGGACTGCTCCCCAGGCCCTTAACTCCTACCTACTCTCAGCCTTCTGGGAACCCCTGCAACTGAGGCTTTTTGCGGTTTCCAGAAATATAAGCCCTCAGGCATAGTGATGCAAAAATGTCAGCAGAAAGCCCAGTCCACTCTAAGGGATAGGAGCACATGCCACACTCTCTGATGTCAAAGTCTGGAGGAGGACTGTCCAGGCTGGTATGCTACCCTAAAACATCCTCAGGGGTCTAGGCTCTATCCAACTTATCATTTTCCTCAGGGTCTAAATTGGCAGCTAGAGCTCCAGCCTTCACACACACTTTCTAGGCAGCAAGGCAGAGGAAGAGATGAGAAATGAGGGCAAAGAGCCTATACCAGTTGTCTCTTAAGAAAGGTTCCTGGAGAGCTGTGGATGTGGCTCAGTGGTAGGGCACTTAGCTAGCATGAGTGAAGCTCTGAGTTCAATCCCTAGTACAAAAAAAAAAAAAAATTCTTGGAATCTTCTATAACATACTTAAACTTATAACCATAATTATCAGAACTTAATGATGGGGTCATGTTTTGCTGCAAAAAGGGATTGGAAAATGTAGCTTTCATTCTAGGTGGTTATGCTCTCATGAAATAATTTTATTTCCTGCTGGGTGTGATGGCCCACACCTGTAATCCCAGTCATTTGGGAGGCTGAGGCAAGAGGATTGAAAGTTCAAGGCTAGCCTCAGCAATTTAGTGATATCTAGTCTCAAAATTAAAAAAAAAAAAAAAAAGGTTGGGGGTGTAGCTCAGTGGTAGAGCTCTCTGGGTTCAGTCCCCAGTAAAACACACACACACACACACACACACACACACACACACACACACACACACCTCTTCCGTTTCTCTAGAAGGAGAAATGTGGATATGGAGATGACTAGCAGTCACTGCCATGGCCTAAAAGGGAAGGAATACAGATAGAGTGCAAATTGCTAAGAGCCTATGTCAGAATATACCATAAAGGGGACAGATGTGTGACAAAAATTAAGGGCCCACGTAGGGGACTAAGGAGGCAGTTGTATTCCAGACCACAGGAGAAGGTTGAAACAGAATGCTGAAGCTCAGTGCCAAGCAGGCCGTTTTGGCCTCAGATTGGAGCATCTTACTTGCCTTTCCTAGCCACCATCTGGGGGAGGATTCCATGCAGTTTTCCCTCAGAACAAGTAACATAAAAAGGATTCCCATGCGTTTTGTATAATTGTCAGACTTAATTTTTTAAGAGCAGTGCCATGGTTTGAATGTGTTCTCCAAAGTTCGTGTGTTGAATTAGTCCTCAATCCCATAGTGTTGAGAGGTGGGACTTAAGAATCAATTTGGCCATGAAGGTTCTGCCCTCACACGTGGAGGAGAGGGGTGAGTTCTCATGAGACTTTGCTCCTGATACAGATGATACAGATACTCCACCCCTCCCCACACAGTGCTCGGTTCCCCTTCTGCCTTCTGCCATGGGATGATGCATCAAGAAGGCCCTGGCCAGATGAGGGACCCTCAGCCTTGGTCTTCTCAGCTTTTAGAATGATAAGAAATAAATCTATGTTCTTTACATTTACCCAGTCTCAGGTATTCTGTTACAGCAGCAGAAAGGGGGTAAATAGTTTCAAGTACACAGAAAAATGAGTGCAAATTACAGTTCTAAAATAGCCCTTCATCTGCCCCCGATTTCCATTATTATTAACATCATGTGTTAGTGTGGTGTGTTTGTGACAACTGACGAACCAGTGTTGACATACTACTAAAGTTCATATTTTACAATAGGGTTCACTCTTTACGTCCTATACTTTGTATGGGTTTGGACAGCTGTATGATGATATGTAAGCACCATGGTAATATCATACAGAAAGGTTTCACAGCCCTCCAAATGCCTTGTGTTTCACCCATCCATTCCTCCCTCCCTTTCTCCACACTCCTGGCAACCCTTAATCTCATTACAGCCTACATGGTGGTACTTTTTAAGAATGTCATATAGTTGGAATCTACAGCAAATGACCTTTCACCTAGCAATATGCATTTAAAATTTATCCATCTCTTTTCATAACTCGTTTCTTTTTAACACTGAATAAAATTCCATTATATGGATGTATCCATTTGCCTATGAAAGGAAATCTTTTTTCTTTCTTTTTGCTGTTACATCTCAGTCCTTTTTTTTTTTTTTTTTTTTGGACAAGTTCTCGCTACGTTGCTGAGGTTGGTCTCAAACTTCCAATCCTCCTGCCTCAGCCTCCTGAGTCGCTGGGATTACAGGCTTGTGCCACTATACCCAGCTTCAAAAGATATCTTGATTTCTTCTGAGTTATGGTATTTATGAATAAAGTTTCTCTGAACATCTCTACGCAGGTTTTGTGGGACATAAATTTTCAATTCAAATGGGTAAACACCAAGGAGCCCAAATGGTGGATCATATGGTAAGAGAAAGTTTAGCTTTCTAAGAAATTGCCAAATGTCTTCAAAAGCAAGCCGTTTTGCCTTCCCACCAGCAGTGAGAGGTCCTGTTGCTGTATGGCATCAGCATCTGGCATTGTCAGTGTTTTGGATCTTAGTCATTCTAATAAGAGTGTCATTGTCATTCTAATTTGCATTTCCCCAATGGTATGTGATGTGGAGCATCTTTCATGCATAATTGCTATCTGTATATCTTCTTTGGTGAGGTGTTTTCAGATCTCTTGCCCCCACCCCCCACCCCTTTTTATGGTATAGGGATTCAACCCAGGGGTGCTCTACCACTGACTGATACAGCCTTTATTATTATTATTATTGCTTTTAAATTTTGAGACAGGGGTCTTGCTCAGTTGCCAAAGCTGGCCTTGATCTTTTGATTCTCAGGCCTCACTTTCCTGAGTGACCGGGGATTTGCAGCATCTACCACTGTGCCTAGTTTGCCTATTTTTATATTGAGGGTTTTTGTTTGTTTGTTTTTGTACTGGCAGTTAAACCCAGGGAAGCTTCACCACTGAACTACAATGCCATTCCTTTTTATTTTTGAGACAGGGTCTTTCTAAGTAGTGCTGAGTGTCATGTTAAATTGCTGAGGCTGGTCTCAAACTTGCAATGCTCCAATCTCGGCTTCCCATGTGGCTGGGATTACAGGTTTTGTTTTGTTTTGTTTTTGTATTGGGGATTGAACCCAGAAGTTCTTAATCACTGAGCCACATTGTATTTAGAGACAGGGTCTCACTGAGTTGCTTAGGGCCTCCCTAAGTTGCTGAGGCTGGCTTTGAACTCGTGATCCTCCTGGCTCAACTTCCCAAGCCATTGGAATTACAGGTGTGCACCACCGTGCCTGGCAGGACTACAGGCTTTTTGGTACTAGGATCGAATCCAGGGTGTTTAACACTGAGCTACATTCCCAGTTCTTTTTTCTTTCTTCTTCTTTTTTTAATCTTGAGACAGGGTCTTGCTAAGTTATTGAGGCTGACGTTGAACTTGAGATCTTCCTGCCTTAGCTTTATGTGTCACAGGGATTACAGGCATGTGCCAATGGGACCAGCTTTTTTAAAATTATTATTTCTTTTTTAAATTTGTTTTAATTAGTTACACATGACAGTACAATGATCTTGACATATCATACATTTGAATCAGATAGGGTATCACTTCTCATTTTTCTGAGTGTACAGGTTTCAGAATCACATTGGTCATGCAGTCACGTATATACCCACAGCAATAATAATGTCTATTTTATTCTGCTGTCCTTCCATTCCCCCCTTCCCCTCCCCTCCCTTCGCTTTTTTTTTAATTTATTTTTTGTTTTCAGCGGACACAACATCTTTGTTTGTATGTGGTGCTGAGGATCGAACCCAGGCCGCACACATGCCAGGCGAGCGCGCTACCGCTTGAGCCACATCCCCAGCCCCTCGCTTTTTTTTTATTGTTGAGTTTTGAGAGTACTTTGTATATTTTGGATATTAGTCTTTCCATCGGTTATGTTTTGCAAATGTTTTCTCCAAACTTGGGGCTTCTTTTCATTTTTTAAACAATGCACTTTGCAGAGCAGATTTTTCAATTTTAATGAAGTCCAGTTTACTTTTTTTTTGAGACAGGGTCTTGCTTTGTTGCCCAGGCTGGCCTCTAATTCCTGGATTTAAGTGATCCTTTTGTTTCAGGTTAACTTTTTCTTTTCTTTTTTTGGTACCAAGGGTTGAACCAGAGGATGCTTACGGACTGAGCCACATCCCAAGCCCTTTTTTATTTTTGAGAAAAGATCTGCTAAATTGCTTAAGGACTCACTAAGTTGCTGAGGCTAGCATTGGAATCCTCCTGTCTCAGCCTCCAGAGTCTCTGGAATCACATGTCTGTGCCATTGCATCCAGTTCAGGTTAACTTTTTCTTTCATGGATCATGCTTTTGGTGTTGTATCTATACCCATATTTTTGTTTGTTTTTCCTGTGACCAGAGGAATAACTCAGTGTTGGCTGAAGGAGTAGGAGGACAGGAGCTGACTCCTTAGCCTTGTCCCTACAGTCACAGGCTCTAACTCCTGAGATCATGTCTCAGTCAGCTATTGCTATAACAATTCTACATAACAAAGCAACCATAGAATTCAAATGCGTATGATAATAAGCATTTCATTCTCGTCCACTTGTCCACAGATCAGCTGGGGTTCCGCTGATCTGGGCTGGGCTCAGCTAAGTTTAGTGGCCCCCTGCAGGCGGAGTCCCACCCTGTTCCAAATGTCACTCATCTTCCTTAGGCCATGTTCTTTTTAGGGCAAAAGGTTGGAGCAAGCCTAGACCTGCAAACATATTTCAAGCCTCTAACATCCCATTGGCCAAAACAAGTCTCATGGCCAAGCTCGCCATCCATGGGGCAGGATGTGTACTCCTCCCATGGATCCCGAATCCCGTGTACCTCCAATCAGGAGGGCAAATTCCCATTGCAAGACCATGGGTTTTGCTTTCGGATACCTGTCAGGATGGCCTTAGGCCTGAGCCTAAGCAACTCCGTTTTAAAAACTCCAGTTTGAAACCTGCAGTCTTACCAGGTGCGCCTAACGGAGCCCTCCAGTGTGGTCCTCAGGCACCAACAAGTCACTTCTCCCAACCCTGATAAACTCGGAGTGAAGCCCCTGGCAGGCTGTCCTCACCAGATAAGAGGGAAAGGGGAGAAAATTAGGGTGTAAATGACATCACTGAGAGACCCGGGGCAGCTGATAAGGATAGAAAGAGGAGTCAAAAGCCCCCAAATTTGGTATAAATAATAGAGCAAATGAACAGACATTCAGCCAGTCGACAGTAATGCCCTCACGCTGAGAGCCTGAGGACCTGGACTGAAGTCACCACACCTTTCATGGTTTGCTGACCCTCTGCGCTGTTCTCACCGCCCTCAAACTCCACAGCCACTTCTTGACCCTGGTGAGAGCCGCAGCTTCTCCCTAGGACCGCCTCCCCAGCCAGCTGTCACCTCCACCCCAGGAGAAGCCTTCCTTGGTTCCTGATCTGATCACCGACGTCTGAGTGGGCATCTGCTGGACCGAGAGCCTAAGGCTTGAGACTTCTGATCTGACACTTGAGCTTAGCACGCAGAGGGAATGTCTGTCGTGAGCCTGTCATGATTAAGCGTTTGCAGTGCTTAGAATCAATCTAGAATTGTTTGCTGTGAATTGATGATGTCTGTTGCAGTGTCCAGCATTGAGCATTGTCATTTTCTTGATTAAGAACGTAGAGTGAAATTGTATTGAGTGATCTGAGTGAATAAAGCATTGACTAGGACAGAAGCGCGTGGACATCTTTATTTCTCCCCTTGGACTGCATAAGTCACACCTTTTGTTCCTCACGACAATACCCAAGCCTCCACCCAAACCAAAAAGCAAGAGAGAAATGAAATGACCAACTGGCAGGTTATGATAATATGCTGTGTTTATTTTGGGTTTCTTCCATGGTTCCTGGCTCATGACTCCCTCCACAAGGTGGACCATAAAAACGGAACTTTCTCTAAGGTGGGTCCCAGAAACTAATCTTCCCTTGCCTTTTTGTCTAAGAGTTTGCCTTTTTGTCTCTGACCTCCTCTTGTTCTGCAGTAGGTGATAAGACCCCTCCTTACTGCAGCTGGGTCCTGCCCCAAACCCTGGAGGAAGGACAGCCACAGAGAGAGGCAGGAAAAAAAATCTAAATACCTAGACCTTGCTGGGTTCCCCACCCAGTCTGTCAGCAAAATGCCTATACAATAAAGTGCTCATAAAACCCCCAAAGGACAGGGTTCACAGAGCTCCTGGGCAGCTGAACACTTGGAGATTTCCAGAGGGTGGCAGGTCCGGACAGGACATGGACATGTCATGCATCTCCCCCCACACCTCACCCTCTGCCTCATTTCCTGTGTATCCTATATAATGTCCTTTATGATAAACCATTAAAACCTAAGCGCTTCCCTGAGTTCTCTGAGCCACTTGAATCAATGTATTGAATCCAAGGAGGGGTTTGTGAGAACCCCGACTTGTGACAGTTGGTCAGAAACACAGATGAAACAGCTGAGGTTGTGACTGACATCTGAGGTCAGATGTCAGGGGCAGTGTTGGGGACTAGACCCTCAACCTGTGGGATCTGATGCTTTCTAAGTGAATAGTGCTATAAACCGAATTGGATTAGAGGTCACCCCTTAGTGTCCATTATGGCAGAACTGTTTCCTGGATGGTAGGGGAAATCCCACACCTTTTAGAGTCACAGAAATCTGTGTTGATTGTGGTGTGAAAACAGGAAAAACAGACACTTTGGACACTTTTGATTTTTTTCCTAGATATATATAAGTTAAAACATGTTGGGGCTGGGGATGTGGCTCAAGCGGTAGCGCACTGGCCTGGCAAGCGAGGGGCTCTGGGTTCGTTCCTCAGCACCACATAAAATAAA